TTCTCTCCCAGACTGACATTAATCCCAGCACACCACACCACACAGACAGACGGTTGTTGATTCCTGGATTCCTCTCTCTAATCTGCTACCGCTGCTGTGGTTTACTGCAGACAAACTGACGGTTCGCTGCAGGGAAACGGCTCTACATGACATGTTTGTTTCCAATCAGTGGAAGGATTAACTAAAAATAAATAGGGTCTTCTTTCCCAGGTGACACATCTCCGGCATGTTGCCTGCAACATACACACATTGCCCCCAACTTTTAAATGTGGTCTTGCTGCTGGTTAATCCAGCGATAGGTGCTGCATTTAAGTTTGATCCTACCTCAAGGTCGACTGGATTCTGGTAAAAAGATGTTTGGCAAGGGTGCACAACCGCATGTCAATAACTCTGTGTGCAAGATTTTACTAGCTCTCTGTGTGTGTCCTGTATAAGTTTGTGTGTGTGTGCATATGCATGTGTTTTCTTCTTTGAACATCACGCTCTTTTGTTTAAATGTCATGACTGCTTTCAGTGAAGAGTTAGAGCCATTTGTTTGTCTTCACTGTTTCACAAACACCTAGGTCATCAAGGTTCATAGTAGGAGCAGCATGTTGGAACCAGTGACGAAATTCAGTTTGGGATGCGAAAACAAAGCTTGGGAAGAGAATGAAAGCAAGAACCAGAGAGACTACAAATGGGATGAGAGACAGAATCATAAAGGATTGCATAAGGAATGATGAAGGAGGTATTTTATGGAAAATCACGTCATGTCACTGTGATCAAAGTGACAAGCTAGATAAATGTCTACTTGAGGATATTAGGCAATTCTTTACTGCTGCACCTAATCACCTGCAATCATCTACAGACTTGCTTTTAATGCTAGAAAATGTAATGTAATGTAATCAGATAACTTTGATTCAAAGCAAAGGAAAACATACAGTAATGAAAATGACAGTCTCCATTCTGTCAACTTTGTGAAGCCAATGGATAGACAATAGTTTTGTTTTTTTTGTAGCAGGCAGAGCATTATTCCATTGTTAAGAAACATATCGGAGTAATCTGCCACTCAAGGACAAGTGTGGGTTGCAAGGCTGGTTCCTGCAAATGGATGACAGCCGCTCTGTGACACAGGAAGTGAACAGGATCATCTGGCTAATGAGTCCCCAAACAAACATCTGTATTCAACGGGAGCCAGCGAGGCTGTGCAGTGAGTAAACCTCACTCCCCGACATTTTAAGAAATGCATTGGCGACTGATGCAAGTGTCCATGGGTTTTATCCTCTTCGTCAGAGTGTCCGCCTCCCGTACCCAAGGTGCCAGTTCGATTCAGGACCGTGAAGTACAGATGTGGGTCGGTTACATGTACAACTAAGTCCAAATCATCATGGAAGATGTAGTATCTGACAGTTACTCTACATGCAAGAAAAGAGTATAATCACCTTTTTAAACCTGGCTAAACATCTATCCCTCATCTGTTTTTTTTACATTACATTAGCACATATACATATAAACAAATGCTAGAAAGTCTGGGTTCATATATAAAATCACTGGTTGAGCATGACCCCAGACTTTCTAGCATTTGTTTCAAACATTATTTTTATGGCTGTTGAAAGGAGGCCACAAACCCACAATATTGCATTTTATGAGATCTTGCCGCTTATAGAGTCTGTGCAGAAAAGTAAGTATTGCATTGTTTTTTTCCATGTATCTTAGGAGACAAACGGAATGAGAAGCAACATGGGTAAAGAGGTATGATCCAAACTGCTTTGTGACAGTGACACATACACTTGGACTTAATTATCAGTGTTTATAGATGTTTTTTGGTTCATTGGTGGTGATCAATTAAAGTCTCTTCAGTTTAGTTATTTAATAACATGCAAACTCCTAAAGTGTATGAACATGTATTGTCTCCTGTTCATTAACTAACAAACTTTCAGGTTAAATATGAGGGAATGGAATGTTATCACAGCTAATTTGCATATGAAGGGAAGACATCCTATTGTAATATAGCGTTCATCTTAATTAACCACAGATGTAAATGAATATCATCTGTATGTAATCCAGTGGTTTTGGTTTACAACTTACTGAGTGTTTTTCCAGGAACATGACTAGTAACAACATAGAAATATTGCGCATGGTGTGAGTTTCCTGCCTGCCTCAACCCTCCAGCTCCTCTTTAAATTTAGGCTTCAAACTTACCTGATGAACAAACTCGTAGCCTCTCCCCTTGTGTCTTTTCTACATTTGCATATGTTCTGTGAGCAGCAATTCACATATATATATATATATATCATCTCCAAGTTATTGCAATTGTTGTCAATGTTTTATTATAATTATCAGATTTGTTTCTTCCCTTTACTTATATTGTTTCATAGGCTCACATGAGATTTTTAACCAGCATCAACATAATCCTTTAACATCTTAAGGCATGTTTTATATGCTTCATTGGGTTGTTGCTTTTGCAAATAAAAAGACAAATAATCATCGCAGAATTTCAGTTGTCTGTATACACTGTCATATTTCGCAAATCAGGTGTTGGTTTATGGTGGGATGCTGTCAAGGGTTTATTTCAGGACAAAATGATTAGGAACGAACACACACACACACACACACACACACAGAAAGGAATTAAACACATGACAGAACTGGATAAGTGAACAATGAACATTTCCTTGTTTACTTTAAGTTAGAGTGCAGAAGTCTGTGCCTATGTTTTCTGATGGCTCATCGTTCCTGATTTTGTTCCAAATCCATTTCCAACCACAGCTTTCTCTTTATGAACCCGATCAACCTGTTATGTTACCCAAGCTTTCCAGAGAATTAAATTATATGACAAAGGTGACAGCTCACATGTAGGCTTTGAATGTCAAACTTGTACTCATTTTTGGTCGCATTCAACTAGAGTAACAATACTTAACATTAATGTTTTACTTGCTGTACATTCCTCCAACATCACACCGTATTTGTAAAGAGAGGCTACCACGCTACAGAGATCTTTGGCCGATTGTCCCTTCTCACCGTCCACAACGTAATATGAGAATTCATCTCCTGATGTGCCCAAACAGCAGACAGTCCAAATATTCGCTGACAGGCTGCGAGTTCACGACGCTGCAAAGGGGGGAAAGCAGTGGGAGCAGATAAAATGAAACTAGATTACAGATATAAAGCCATGTGGATCTGACAGACATGCTGAGGACCTTCCTGGTAGTGCTATGTCTTGGGGGTTAGGATGTTCTGTGTGGTCGGATCAAGGCCAGCCTGAGAGAAAACTGCTGCTGTAATCGGAATATCTGTTTTGTAGCGCTGATAAAGATCAAATCTGATGCATTGCATTGCAGATGACATCGGCCTAGTTTGACAGAGAGTCAGAAAGATTGCCAACCATGATATTGATTTCCATATGAGTGTAAAGGGGAAGTTTTGTCATTCGAGTTATGGAAAGTAAAACATCTTGGTACGCTGCCTGTGGCATGTGGTCACAATTTAATTACACATCTTCCAACTACAGTAACTTGTTTGGCTCCATGATGTAGACTAAGATTACCCCCTTCAGTGTTTGGCCCCAAACAACTGTTCATTCTCTCAAATACAATCCTAAAAAGAGCATGAAATATGTAACTACTAAAATCTACATAATGACCAACAATTTTATTGTCTCCATAATTTGTTACACAAAGCAAGGATTATCGAGATTATAATATTTAGAAACTACACAAACAGCCAGCTGGGGGATAGCCATGACTGTTTCATCACGACCCACTGGCCAATCAGACAATCAGCCAACCAATAACACAAACCACCAACCAAAGGGCCAGTCGATGAGCTGACAAGTCAGTGAACTAATGAGCCAACTAACCAAAACAACTACTGGCTGACAACAATTACTTAAGGAGATCAAGTAATTCCAGTAACAAAAATTGTTTCTTAATGGTGTGGTGCCGAATAAAGAAGAATGAATACCTTTGTTAGGCCTGACAACGCCACCTCCTAGTAAGGGCAGGAGGAACCCTTTAGAACCCTTAATATATAAAAGGTTGTGTGTCGTGAACTCTGATTCCCCACGATCAGGAACAATTACAAAGAGGCATGTAAGGCAAAAGTAAGTAAATTGTATTAGAAGTATATTGTTAAAATCCCCGTTAAAATACCAACAGCATAAATAAAATTAGCCTGGTAATAAATTTGTTGAAAAAAAAAAAAAAAAAAAAGACAGTGTTACTCTCCTCAAGGTAGGAAGGTCAAGTCGGCTCGTACACACCACCCCGATCAGCGACTGTGGTAGACAGAAGAGGGAGACAGCAGACCCAACACCAAGAAGTACATGCACTATACACTCAACATCTAAACTATTCACTACACACTTACCATGTAGATTATTCACTACAAAATAGCATGCAATGTTGAAGTTGAGTATACACACACACCACTATAGAATCCCAGTGTTAAAAATAAAAACGTTATAAATATCCTGACCTAAAACTCATTGATACACAGATAGGCACATGTATATCATTTACCAGTAACTCCGGATCCCTACATCCACAGCTGCTGATTTGTGACCATGTCAGCTGTAGACTGAAACATACAAATAATCTTTACTAAACAGAACAAACCACAGGTTAAGAAAATGCTATTAGCATAGCAAGCATCAGTAACACACAGACAGGTGGTCACATAAGTGAAAACAACCTAGCATTAGCTGAAACTATTCAATGCTACACCATACAGCTTGCAATGCTGACAGGCATTACCATCAATCTTCTCCAGTTCCCTCCATGGAGGACGGGACACTCATTTCTAGCTGTCACCCTGCAAGGTGTGCTCAGTGGAAAGCAAAGGACTTGCCACTGAGACTAGTAAACCTTTTATCACTTCCTGATTAGCTGCAGGTCACATGACAAGGTCATATGGCCATGCATGTGCACCAGTCACCTGCCTTACCACAATGGCTTGAAGCTTTGTTTCTTAGAAGTATACAGCGGACTGTTGCACCGAAAGCTGTGCCTCTATCTGTTTATTCACTGCAGCAGGAAAAGCAGAAAAGCATATTTTTTCAATAGCTTGAGACAGCAGGCGTAGGGCATTTTCTCGTGATAAGTTAAATAATCATCAAATTTGATGAGAATTGATAAGTTGTTTCAGCTCTACTGTCAGTGGAACACAGCGTCACAATGATTATAGGTTAATGCCAGCAGAACAGCAGTGGCATGCCAATACTTCTTCCACTGAAGAAGCACTCAAACATAATGCAGCAAGATAATTATTCGGGCCGGGATTCTAGCATAAGCCGAGGTCAATCTCAACACCCTCACCCTGACTGTAACTGTTAAAAAAGAGAGCTAAGTGTGTTCAGTTTCAGAAGTAAGTCAGGTCCATAATTAAGGTTAAATACACAGTTTTGTGCAGTTTTGAAGTGTTTTCCTCAGAGCTCTGACTGGAATTCTTTTGGCTTTGGTAGCTCTGACCAACTGATGTTACTTCCACTTTACAGAACGATCAGTATGTAGCCCTCCTCCATCCCATTCACCTCCTGCTCATCAAATCCAGGCCCAGTTCACGCTCAGCAGGAGTCTTCTCCTCATCACATCCAGATCCTCTTCTCATTCTCTTCATCCCTTCATCACCACCACCAGTATCTAGACTCCATCTGGGGGGATTTCTATACCTTTGCGGCTTCACCATCTATTAAAAATGTCATCACGATGGTGTCTAATAGCCAAGTGATATTTTTTTGCATTCTTGTATCGATGTATCACATGTCAATAAATAATTGTTGTTCACTCAGTCAAATCTCTTCTGATTGAAATTATGACGTGCTGAGGGTGGCCCTGAAACATATTGTTTTTTAAATCTAATCAACCATGTCATTTGCTATGTCATTTTGCAGCACTTGGCTTCTTCACTTTCGTGCAGGGAGCTGACAGTCTCCAGATGGCCTGACTGGCCACCAGTGCTCCTGATGGCCAGGCCTGCAGCATCTTAAGAAGGCTTGAGCATTTCTGAATAAATAATATAAATAAAAGAAATTAAATGATCAACAGTTGCAGCAAACGAACTAACACTGACTTGTCAGATGGTCAGCCAAAAGTGACCTTATGACAAGCCAACCAGCCAACCAGCAACCGAGGACTAGTCATTCAACAAACCTTTAGGTCAACAAATCAGCCGACCAAACAACCAAGCAGCCAATCCATCTCCTCGACATGGGATGGAAAAAATACGAGAGGAAGGCAGAGAGGGATGAAATCAGGACCATATGAATGACATTACAGCTAGTCTCAATTCTGGGTGTGTTGCTTGTTGTTGCTGGTGGTTTGGGAAGTCTGGGAGCCTCTGCTGATTTAGGTCTCATATGTTGACATTGTCCTGGCACGACCCCTTTGACTGAGTCATCCCCCTGCCATCACTGCATTGCAGATCAGACCCACTGACTGACTGACTGACATTCAAATATTAACAAGACACTCAATTCCTCTTAAGAATTTCCAAAGTCTGTTACCACTGAGGGCTCTGGGTTGATCAGATGGAGGGCTCTGAGTTGCAGGTGTCCTCATGAGGATTAGTGTGTTAATCAATGATACTTATAACTCTGCCCAGGTGTCACCACATCTTAATGGAAGCTACTTGATCCATCTGAAACGTTTTATCCAGGGATTACACTGAGGATTGCTGCCGCATGACTCGGATGGGGATTCCCTCTGTTTGTGCATGTGTGTATCTATGTGTATGTGTGTGCATGAGGTAGTGTGGTTGCAGGGATGCATGTATCTGTGTGTGTGTCTGCCTATGCCTGTATTGTCTGTGTCTATTAGTGCAAGTTCAACCACAGTCTTTCCTGTTTTTAACTTTATTAACATTCGCTATTCCTCTGGGTATAATTTGAAGTCCCATGATTAAATATGTGGGCTAGCCAGCGATCAGAACCCTAAATACTGCAAATCTTTAGTCAAAGCAATGGGGATTTGTAGGCATACAATCTAATTTGAAAGGAAAACATTACATTGCATGAGCCCCGTGAGGGAAGTTAGAAAACGGAGAATGAGTAGTATGAGTACAAGATGGAAATGTGCAGACAAATGACAACATTGTCAAACAGAAATACACTGAACAAAATTATAAATGCAGCACTTTTGTTTTCGCCTCCATTCATCATGCAAAAGGCCTATTTCTATTTCTCTCAAATATTGCTCACAAATCTGTCAAAATCTGTGTCAGTGAGTACTTCTCCTTTGCCAAGATAATCCACCCATATCACAGGTGTGGCATATCAAGATGCTGACCGGACAGCATGGGCATTGTACAGGTGTGCCTTAGGCTGGCCACAATAAAAGGCCACTTGAAAATAGAAATCATCTGAATAGACAAAGATCATACTGCCTAATGGTATGTCTTCCCGCCTTGTTGTCATACATACCCACACGCAGACACCCAACTGCATGCTAATAAAAATCTGATATATTTATAAAATATAACATAATATACTTTGTCAGGGATAGAAGAAGTCCTGCACTTACACCCATCTTTGTCTCAGGTGTTTTCACAAGCAGGTTTAACCTGATTCCTATCAACCTATGCTGGGAAGTAAATCCAGTGTAAACTTTGATGAAGCCTCTTTTTATATTGGATTGCAAAAATCATTTGAAAATTGTCAGCCAGGGACGTGCACAGGAATTTTGAAGGGCAGTTGCTCTGACCTGAAAAAAGGCACTAAACACAGTATCCAAAATGTATTAACAATATAAATGTCACCAAAATACATATGAGAAAAAGAGTTCCTTATATTATTGTTTATTGTTTTTTTTAATCATTATTATTTTTTTTTTTTCCTTTTTTTTTTTATTTGAAAATAAATAATCTAGATTGAATTGACAGATGGGGAAAACTCGCTTCTAATAAAATATTAAATAAAAAAACGCTTAGATTTCGGAAAAAAATACAATCCTTTTTAACCTTTTGGCTTCCCGTACATTCAGTTGCGCTTCTAGCTCGTATTCACTTCTGTTGGTGAGTATCACGTATGGTAACTGGGCAAAACTACGCATGATTTGTTGTAGTATGATTGCATAAAGGAAGGAAACAGGAATTCCGGTAGGGAACAGAATCGACTGACGTGCAGGCAGCGCTGCAGCAGTGCAGCCACTTAAACAGAGTTTGCTCTTCCCCTGCTGAATGGAAGTGAATGAGGCTTTGCGATCGCGATTATTTTTTATTTTATTTTTTTTTCTCGGAAGGGCAACTTGAGTCAGGAAAGGCAAACGGGCAGTTGCCCGGGCAACCAGAGCAACCCCCCTGTGCACGTCCCTGTTGTCAGCAGAACCCAAAAAAAAGCCTAATCCTCACAGCCATAGCTGCCTTAAATAATGGGCCTGAGAATGTACTGTTGTCTTTCATTGTACGTTGTAAAAGGAAAAGGAAAAGGGAATATTTCCTTATTTACAATAAAATAAAGTCTAAGTTTAAGTCAATAAAGTCTAATTAGTGCCAGTTAGAAGAAATACCATTCTGAAAATGAGCATGTTTTAGCGATGGTCAAAACAGATTTTACAAGGTTACATTTAAATATAAGTAAATGTAAACTAATAGATATGTGTATGTATGTAATAAATATAGGATTTCTTCTTTGCAGCTTAGTCATTATTAGCGCATTTCTGGCAAATCATAGTGTTTTTAATGTCATGAGCTGTATCTGAATTCAGAAACATCGTCTGACTATCTTTACATATTGGTGTATTGACTTTGTGTGGTATTCAAAAATGTATGGAAATGTTTGTGTGAAATTTCCTTTCCTGAACTAGAGCTCAGATTGAGACATTTTTCTTTTGGTTTCAGCACTGGCCAACTATTGGCTCAGTGCTTGTGAGACTCAGCTGGCTTGCTGGCTTGTCTAGTGTGCCAGCAGTAAAGAAACCAACTACTGGGGATTTCTGAACAAAATGATGAGTGTGTTTATGATAAGCAATTTGATGATATGCCTTTTTCTGTGCTTAGGGTTGATAAATGTTAGCTGCTAATGGTGGCTCATATGAAGACGCTCATTATTTGGATTGACCCTACCAAAGAGCCACAAACACACATACTTACAGGCAAAGTTACACACATTCACACCTGGAAGTTGCCCAGTACAACCACAGTCTGATCTGTTGGACACTGAGCAGCTCCACAGGAGCAAATGGAGGTTAAGTTCCTTTCTCAGGGGCACCTCAGTGGTGGAAACATTCCTGTTCCCATCCACATAAAATGTAAGCACATTACAGGGTATTGTTGGAATGGTTGAAAATAGTCTGTGCTTAATCGTAAACAGGAAAATATGACATTTTCCTGCCATTATTGGGTGTATTAGAAGCATTTTGTGTGAACATGTAACATTTAAGACTGGCATAAAATCAAAGAAAATTTGTGAAATTACTTTTTGTAAGGTTGATAAAACAATCTCACCACAAGTTCAGTTTTTTATCTGTTCTGGAGCTTTCCGTTGTATCACACAATTTCCATTTTCTGAGCACTAAAGATCAATTATTATAGTGTCGAAGGTCAGATTTTTGAGCTATCCATGGTGCTGAAGCCAGGTCAAATGGGACATGTACTAGGTCAGGGGGGTCACCGTGAAATTCTCTTTGTAAAGGTTTGCTTCATTTGGTATTTGATAGATGGAAGCCGGGAGAGCGAGAGATGTATTTGAACCTGTCGGGGTGACCGACTGACCCATTAGGATGCCCTTTAGATGAGTTATTAATTTGCCAATGAGTGTGTCCTGATTAATATACCTGGCTGACGACTTACACGTTTTCACACAGACATTCTGGTACACACACTCTCTGCCGACAGCTCATGCAGGAGATGACAGGGCCTGGTTACAGTAATAACCCTCCTGCTATCTCACGCCCATGTGTCTGCAGTATAGCTTGTAAATCTCACTCTGTTATTGTTTTAATAATACTAATGTTAGCATTAGCCAAGTGGTAAAATGCAGACATCAAAAGCCAGAGACATCTGAGCTATATTGGGGTGAAGACAAAGGGCGAGGGCCCAGCTTGTGAAAATAGCTGTGCTGACTCAGCAGAGGATTGTGAGTGTGCATGTGTTGCCTAGGTTGGTTGTGCCTTTGTATGTGTGTTTGTTGATGTGTGTGGGCACAAATTTACCCACTGATAGTGTGTGAGTGCGTGGGTAAGTGTGCAAAACACTAAGCAACCTGACTGCACGTTACTAAGCCCTCCAGCTGCTCGGTAAAAATGACTTCTCAGAGCTGCATTTCCTACAAACCACAAAGTCTCATAAAGCTGAGCACCCATAGTTAACTAATGGTGTTCACTTCTATATTAATGCCTCTGGTGCTGCTTGTTTGGGGGAAAATACCCTGATATGTTTTCCAACACTTTGTTTTTCTGAATCAACAGCTCCACCTCTGCGCTGAGCCAGAGTGAGGACTGAAATAACGTCTGAGATGTAGCATCACGAAATCATAAAATAAATAAAGTAAAATAAATAAATAAGTAAAATAAATGTACAAATTGGAGGTAAATATTGGACCTTTTACTCCAGTACATTTTTTTTACAAGTTCACTTACTACTTATTTTACAATTTAAGATGTTTACACTCAAAAGTAGGCCTACTGCTGAAATGATAAGTCTATTAATCAGCTATTTTGATAATCGTTGGGAATCGTCATTTTACATTTAGCTTTTTATCTTCTTTGCCATCTTTACTATAAGGAAGCCGGGAGGAACAAGTGAGTGAAGCTACATCCACATGACTACGTTTTCATTGTAAAACGCAGCAC